ACAACACTGGAGCTAATACACAACCTTGTGACCCCTTGCTGTTAGCCTTTTGCCATCATGAAAACTGACCTTTTAATCGTACTGTTTGTTAACTCTTTTAACCAGTATTTGATCCATGACTATACTCAGCCTTGCAGTCTATGACTACTTACTTTCTTCAGTAGCCTCCTGTGCATGACCTGGTCAAGGGCCTTTTGAAAGTGTAAATAAAATATGCCATTTGATTCTGCTTTAGCCGCTATTTTACTGACACATTCAAAGGATTCTAACAGATTAGTGACACAACTTTCCTTTTCAGAAACCATGCTGGATAGACCCTATCATACCATGATCTTCCAGATCTTTTATTTATTCTAGTTGAATGATTATTTCAACCAATTTACCAGGTAGAGAAGTAAGACTTAATTAATAAAGGTTGGGTAAAGGTCCCATTTTACAGATGAGGAACCCAGATCCAAGATGTATTTGCACATCACATTGCAAACACGGGGGCTGGACGAATCTCTCAGCTATGCTATATTCCTAACTAAGGGCCTGATCCAAAGTCTACTAACTCAACAGAAACACTTTGGATCAGGCCCTAAATTTGGGATAGAGGGCCTGATTCCCCATTGCCTTGTGTAGTTACTGAACTCTATGCAAAGTGGCTATGAAATGCTACCAAATCAGAGTTCTCCACCCACTCATGCCAGTGGCAGCAATTTATATTCACTTTCCATAGGCATAAATGATTAGATGAGGAACAAGAGAGTCATGAATCAGGCCCAAAAGAATAGGAAGCAATGCAAAGTGCTGTGAAACCAGTATTTCAGCAACAAGACATAGTAGCTGTTATCCAACAGACTCCAGCACCCTTCTGCTTAGATTTCCTTACCGGGTTTACACCGGAGTAATAGGCCCAGGACCTACAGGCTGCCCCAGGTTGTATAGGTCCAGACCGCTTGGTTGCAAACCATACATAGGTATAGGTGTCATTTGGCTGAACTGCATCATCCTTTTTGAACCAGTCTGGAGACTCATCTTCATAACTCCTTCCCTCAGAGGATTTCTCATAGAAAAGCCCATGGGAATGGAGGGAATATGGTCTGGATGCCAGATTTTTAAAATGAACCTAGAAAATAAATAAAGGCAGATTCTCGATTAGCAGATTTGGGCCTAAACCAAAACCCCAGGCATAAAACACCCATGAACTGTCTAAAGTACAAATTCAGGATTCAGATTTGTCTACTGATTATGGGCTAGATTGTGCCTGGTTGGAGGTGGGGAGTGTAACTCCTGACACATCTTTCTGGGGTGCAGCGGACTCCACTGTTCACAGCTAGTAGTAGGTGGGGAGCAGGGTAATGGCTCCGCCTACTCCCTGCCCCCTTTTCAGCACTGTTCCCAAGAGGGAGCAAGTTGGTAGCAGCCCCTGTATTCCTCTGAGAACCCCAATTCCAGGCAGGTCGACCATGGGTTGCACAAGGGGGATAGGGAGCCTTTATTCTTTCCTACATGTGAGCACCCCAGCCTATCAGTGAGGCATCTGTGGTGATCACTGTTGTCGGGGTTTCTGTTGAAAAGGGATACCCATACAGATATTTTGTGGCTTTGACCAGCACTGTAATGAGCTGAGGACATTGGGTGGAACTGTGAGCTATTTGTGTAGGTTGTGTTTGCTTGGTATGTATACCATGCTTAGCCAACCTTGTAGACTTTGCATATGTAGTCTTGCATATTGTACCATGAACGTCGTGGCTGCCATGTGTCCTAGTAATTGTAGGACAGTGTGAGCCCGAACTTCAGGACTAACTTGTACCCCTGCTTCTCGTGGGGAAGACTGTTCCACCGCCTTAAAGAGCTCATTCACTTGAGTGGCTACAACTTGAGCTAAAGCTCCATAGCTGGCTGTGAGTGTGGGGGGACTGTGACAACTCCTGTCCTCTGAGAATGGGCTCAGAGGGGGGACCTGTAACACATACTGACCAGCGAGTTACATTTACACGAGAACTGCTCAACATTTTACATCACAGTATTTTTAAGACAAAAAATGACTTTTCAGACAAATGGAAACATTTTCATTTTTTTCTAAAGTTTCAGGTTTTTCATTGAAAAACTTTTTTCAGTAAAGAATTCATGTTTCAGTTAAGTTTTGGGGAAAATTTTCAGTTTTCACAGAGCAAACTTTTGTAGAACTAAAAATCTCCCCCCCCTACCACCACCACTTTTTGGTTTTGTGTTAAAACACAAAGCTTTTTTGGGTGGGAAGTTGAGAAAAAAATTAATTTTACAAGATGTCCCACCAAAAATGACTGATATTTTTCAACCAGTTCTAGCTCAGCCTCTTCAGATCCTCGTAAGAAACCTTCATGCACCAAACACTGAAGCCTTGACTTACTTGGATGACATCATCTACCTCAGCCCTGATAACAGGACCCAGGATACCCAGATGTTCGTCATACTCCCCTTCAGGCTCCCGAGTTGTAAAGGTACTATCCACATAGCTTCGGAAAATCACTTTTTTGTATATGGTGTTGCCCCCATCATGGCTGGTTCTGTCATTCCTCATTGTGCTGAGGGGAACATAATGGAATTAGAAAAATTATGGAATTAGAACATAATGGAACATAAACATCATGGAATTAGAAAAACTGACATCTTATGATGAAAATTAAAGACCTACACATAAAACCCCCTCAAGATGTAGTCTGAGAAACAGTTACATTTACTGTTGGAATGCTTTGGAGGAAAAAGAATCAACACAAATGTCAGTGATTCACACTGAAAATGTATGATCCAGGGTATTAAAGTGATACAAAATGATATCACTACATTCCGTTTTTCTCCACAGTGATTCCACACCAAATTTGCTCAGTTTGCAAATCCTAAAATAGTTTTTCTAACTACCAGTGATGAAAATTTTCTCTAATATCTGAAAATCCATCTGGGCTATTTATACCTCTTACACCATCATCCATAAGAAACTGAATCAGCACTTAGAGTTTTGGTGAGGCAATAAGAATCCAGCTCCCTCTCCCACAGATGTATCAGCACTGGAGAGCTAATGGGAATAAAGGATGTAATTAGTTATCAGCTATAATTCAGAGCCGCATGAGGAAGTGATGCTGACAGCTCAGTGAGAAGGTGTCCCTTTGCATATTTGCCATCTGATCACAACCACATTTAAAGATGCAACTGAACTGTGGAGAAATAGGAGTTTAGTCCCCCATAGTCACCTAAGGTACATCTACACAGCCCACAGCAGACTCGGGCTTGCACTACCCAACTAAAAATACAGTAACTCCTCACTTAAAGTCATCCCGGTTAACGTTGTTTCGATGTTATGTTGATCAATTAGGGAATATGCTCATTTAAAGTTGTGAAATGCTCCCTTCTAACCTCCGTTTGGCAGCCGCCTGTTTTGTCCACTGCTTGCAGGAAGAGCAGCCTGTTGGAGCAAGCTCGTCGGGGCTTGGAACCAGGGTGGACCAGCAGCCCTCCCTATCAGCTCCCCCCTCCCCTAAGTTCCCTGTACAGCAGCTGCCTGCAGTTCAACTGTGTCCCTCCCCCCACTGCCATGTGCTGCTCCTGCCCTCTGCCTTGGAGCTGCTCCCAGAGACTCCTACTTGCTGTACGGGGGAGAGGGGGAAGAGGAGGGCTAATGTAAGGTGTCTCCCCCTCTCCCTGCACCCCGCTTACCCCAAATTCCATAGAGTGTGGCGGGGGGGGGGGACACACTATGGAGATCTCAGCAACCTGATTTAATTAACAAGGCAGTGTACTTAAGCCTGGGTTTAGCTACTTAAAGGGGAAATGCGCATTTTTTCTCTCACACACAGGGTGTGTGTCTCTGTCTGCCCTCCCTCCTTTCCTGCTGCCTCATAGAGTGTGAAAGTTAACCCTTGAGGGCTCAGTCAATTGCTAGTTCATTTAGCAGGGAGACATTCCCTGGGAAATATCCCACCCTCTGACTCCTCCACCTCAACCAAGCTTCACAATCATCATCGCTGTGTACCAATATTAAATTGTTTGTTTAAAACTGAGAGAGAGAGAGAGAGAGTGTGTGTGTGTGTGTGTGAGTGAGTGGTGAAAAAAATTTCCCTGGAACCTAACCCCCCCATTTACATTAATTCTTATGGGGAAATTCGATTAGTTTAACATCATTTCACTTAAAGTCGCATTTTTCAGGAAAATAACTACAAGGTTAAGTGAGGAGTGACTGTAGCTGTGTAGATGTGGCTTGGGCTTTGAAGCCTAGGGAGAGGGGTGGGAGTCAGAAACCAAGTGCCAGCCTGTGCTTCAGTTTCAGAGCACTGTCTACACAGCTATTTTTATAATGTTAGCACAAGGCCAAGTATGTTGAGCTGCACTTGGAAGGCTTGCTGCCACAGACTGTGTAGATGTACCCTTAGTGGAAAGATCACTACTCCTCTAGTGCCTAGAGCAGGGGCGGGCAAACTTTTTGGCCTGAGGGCTGCATCAGGTTTCATAAATTGTATGTAGGGCCAGTTAGGGGAGGGGGCCATGGCCCGGCCTCCAACTCCTATCTGCCCCCACCCCTGGACTCCTGCCTCATCCAACCCCCCCGCTCCCTGTTCCCTGACTGCCCCCGGACACCTGCCGCCCCATCCAACCCCTCCTCTCATTCCTGACATCGCCCTCCCCCCGGGACCCTTGCCCCATCCAACCACCCTTTCTCCCTGTCCCCTGACTGCCCCTGGAACCCCTGCCCCTGACTGCCCCTTGCCACCCCATCCAACCCCCCCTCCTTCCTGACTACCCCCCGAGGACCCCTGCCCCCATTCAACCCCCATTCCCCCCCAACCACCATCCACACCCCCACCCCCTGACCACCACCCGAACTCCTCTGCCCTCTATCCAACCCCCCACTCCTTGCCCCCTTACTGCGCTGCCTTGAGCAATGGTCGCTGGCGGTGCTACAGTCGAGCCACGCCGCCACCGCGCAGCACAGAGCACCGGGTCAGGCCGGGCTCTGCAACTGCGCTACCCCAGGAGCTCACAGCCCTGCTGCCCAGAGCATTGCGCCGGTGGCAGCGGAGCAAGCTTGCGAGCTGAGGCTGTGGGGGAGGGGGGACAGCAAGAGAGGGTCCGGGGCTAGCCTCCCGGGCCAGGAGCTCGAGGGCCAGGCAGGACGGTCCCGCAGGCCAGATGTGGCCTGCGGGCCGTAGTTTGCCCACCCCTGGATTAGAGCAAAGGCCCTGGGATCATCGCTTCCTCATGTGGCTCTAAATTTTAGCTGATAACTAATTACAACCTTTATTCCCATTAGCTCTCCAGTGCCGATACACCTGTGGGAGAGGGAGCTGGATTCTTATTGCCTCACCAAAACTCTAAGTGCTGATTCAGTTTCTTATGGATGTAGGTTCTATTCTCAACTCTTCCAAAGACTCAGGGACAGATCCTCAGCTGGGGGAAGCACCATTGACTTCGCTTGTGGTATGGTCATTTATATCAGCAGCTGAGTATCTGCCCCACACAGGGCAAATCATTTCAATATTTGAGCTTCAGGATTTTTACATATGGAGAACTCTGGGCAATCTTGCAAATACAAATAATGAAGGTGGAGCTGAAGCAGGGTTCTACATGGGGAAAGTTGGGAAGGGGGAAATAGACAAGTTTGTCAAGTAGCCTGGAAATACAATTTGAAAAATACACAATTCGGAGACTGAATTTGCTGTAGTGAAATTTCCGCTCCTGTTCTAAAATCACCAGACAATGAAAATTCAGGCTGTGCAAATATTTTTGTGGGTAGCAATTTTAGAAAGAAAGAAAAAAGGCAGATTTTGCACAGAAATATGCAACCACTGGTAATTTTGCATGGTTTGATTTAAGTGTTGATGTTCATCACAATGAAATTTCAAATTTCTAACAGGTTGAATTTCTCTCTCAGAAAAACGGGATTACAAATGCTTGTTGGGAAATAAAGCCACTTTTTCCAAATCAAAACAAAATGTGAACATCTCAAATTTGGGGTTCATGCGCGATGGTCCAATCAGTTCTTGATCTCTGCTAAGACTAGCAACAAGGGGGTTAATTAAAATAATCTATGGTGGTGGTGATTTGCATGATGTGGATATTTATCTGCTGGGAACTGGACAGAGTCAAACTCCTCATTTTGTATTGGAGATTGAATAAAACTTCAGAGGTGGGAACTATAAGGCTGGAATTTTCAGTGGGGCCTAAGGGTGTTAGGCACCAGCTCCACTGAAACTCCCTTAAGTCACTTTGAAAAATCTCTACCTAAGTCCCTACCTACCCAAGCTGGATTCAAACTGGCAACCTATAGGCTCTCTGTTGACTGAGCCCCAAACCATCCCATCCACACGTACCAAGCTGAGGTATTGATGTGGGCCTCATTACTGTAGTATCTGAGCACCCCACAAAAGCACCTGTGAGGTAGGAAAGGGCTTTATCTCTGTTTTACAGAAGGGGAACTGAGGCACAGAGAGACTAAGTGACTTGCCCAAGGTCACACAGGAAGTCCCCGGCAGAGCTGGGCGTTAAACCCAGGTCTCCTGAATTTCAGGCTAGTGCCCTAAAGCACTGGTCCTTCCTCTCTTGCTCTTCACCTACTGCATTACAGACTGTTAAACTGAACAGCACTTGTGTGATTAAGAAATCCCATAACCCTTCAACAACAGTAGCTTTGCTGTGGGACAGCTATCTGAATCAGTGGCCTGGGATTTAGCAACAGGGTGTGAGGCAAGAGAGAGGAAAAATTTGGCCCCACCTTTTCTTTAATCCTGCATAGTCCCAGATGACCTCTTCGGCTGTGATGTAGTATCTCCTCATGTTCCCTCTGCTACGTAGATAATGCACAGCAATGTCATCAGGGTTACGGACATTATTAATGTTGAATCTGGGGTCTGTTGTGTATGGATCATTGAAGTCTGCGTATTCATATGAATATAGGTTATCTGCAATTTCCTCACTATCAGAGCCTCCTGGTACATACTCCTTGTAGTCCCCATTCCCACTGGGAAGCCCTATGATGACTGGCTTAAATTGTCTTGGGGTCAGCGTGTAGTTAGTCCTGCTTGGCAAAACCAGGAGGTTGGCCTCACTGGGCAATGCTGTATTGTTGGTCTCACAAAGGGACACTGTGTGGTTGGCCTCACTGGACAATAATGTGCAGTTTTGCTCTCCAGGTATCTTTGGGGGTCTCACACCTCTGGGTGTCAATGAGAGACTACTATACTTTTGATTATCTTTTTTCCTCCTTCGGGTCTTGATGCGAGTCACAGATGTACTCAAGGTACCATTCACATTTCTCTCTTTCAGAGTTGGATGCTTGCTGCTTACTTTCCAATGACCCTCTGTAAACTGTGAGTAGCCTTTGAATTTTCCTTGCTTCTTCTTATTCAGGGATACACTCTCTCTTGTAGGCATTGTAGCATTTCTGGAATGATTCTGGAATGTATCAATAGCCTGAGCTGAATTTGTCTCCATCCCATAACTCTCCTTCCCAGAGGCCAAATTCCTTTCCTCATTCATAATTTTAGATGAAGACTTCATACCCCTTGGCGACAGCTTTCCCAGCATGTCCTTTGTCTCCACCGGGCTGCGAGTAGGAATTAAGATATCCGATGCATAATCTAGAGTAAAATTTCTTTCTTGTTTATCTTTGGGTAGTTCTAAGTCCGGGAGATTGAACATGTTTAACTCATTGTTTTCTGCCCTGTGTCCCACAGCAAAAGTCAAGTTATCTGCATGTTTGGGAAATTCAGCATTTTCTTTCTTGGCTTCCTCCTCTTCTTCCTCCTCCACGCCCTGGTCTTCAACATATTCATTTGTAAGTTGGTCAGTCCCTAATATATCTGAACTGGAGATATTCTCTGCATGGTGAGCAGAAAGAGATGCTCTGTCTGAACTGGTGTTGCCAAGAGAGGAAAAACTTTTATTTTGCTGTATACGATCGAAGAGGGCTCGCATCTTTTTAATGGCGTAAAACTTAGTCTCCATCAGGTCTCGCCTTTCCCTATTTCTACTGAAATTGTATTCTCCTCGTGAATTTTCCTCTTGCGGCTCCTCTGAATAGAGTGTTGCAAAGAAGGACTTCATGCTGTCCCCTCTGTGAGGTAACAGTTCTGCTGCATCTTTTGTTTGGGCTTCTTCCCTGGTCCTCAGTAGTTCACCTGCAAGTGTTTTCTCATAATTTCCTGACATCTGACTCTGATTTGCTTCATAGTCACTTTGGTTTCCAGCTTCAGATGCCAAGTCAGGACTCACTGTTGTGGTGACTGGCAGTGAATGTTCTTCTGCTGCCACTATGTAATCTTTATGGAGGAACCCAGCCTTGGTTGGGAGAGGAGCAGTGCTTTGTGTTTCCCAGAGCACATCAGTGTCCAAGGTATCACTGTTCTCCATGAATGGCGGATCTGAGCCAGCAGCCACATCAGCACTTTTAGTGCTGGTGCCAAAGTTCTCATCTATGGCCAGAGCAGTAAGATTCTGCATTTCTTCCTGGACCATTGATTTATTCCTAAATGTCCGAAGTCCCAAACTTGAGGCCAGAAAATCTTGGTAATCAAAATCATCAGAAGACTGCTGGTTTTTTTCTGATGTTTCTCCTGTTTCTCCTCCAGTTTGGGGTGAGGTGACAGGCACATTTTTAAAAGTCTTCTCAGAGGAGAAATGTATGATTTTGTACGAGTCATCCTCATCGGAATAATAATCTACATCTTTTTCACATTTGGCATCTTTAAACCTCAGCCTCATGCCATGGCTCATCTCAGGGGAACCCCAGGATGCAAAAAGCCACGTACCTGCAATTGGGGAAAAAAGAAAAAAAATGGTACTACATATTATTTGTATAGCTTGACCCCCACCTATCATGTCCCGTCTAGATTGTAAACTCTCCTGGTCAGGGGCTGTCTTCTGTGTTATTAGTCTGTACAGCACCCCACAATATTGCTCTGGTCCTTGATTGAGATTCCTAGGCATAACCGTAGCAATAAATCATGAATACTGAATACAACTGACCCATAAAGCTCAGAAACAGATGTGGATCTCAACTTCCCTAAAGTTTAGGGTTATTTGGTTTCCAGTGTTTGGTACAACCCGTGATATAAAGGGAGATAAGAGACCAAAACTAGATGGAAACAAGAGGACAGTTGTGAAGTTTAGATAGGGATCCAAACTTTGCAAAGTTTGAACTGGGAGTTTGGGTTATGTCTCTTGTGTTATGTGTATAAACCTAAGGATGAGAAAATACTGATCATGATAAAAATCCTCACAGGCATTTTAAATCATTTCAAAATCAGATATGTTACAATAATTTAAAACCCTCTGGAGGGTGAAGGTCTTTAATAGGACAGTGAAATTCCACATTAGATTGGCCTACATGAGAATAAATGGGCACAGCGCATCAATTGACTCCAGGCTCTTTGCATTTCATGGCATGTCCCAGAATAAAACATGGGAGAGAGGGACAAAAATGGCTTTTACCTGAAAAAGATGCCAGATGTAATTTTCTACCTCCTCTATATTTTAAGTGACAGAATTGCATTGCTTTCCTTACATTATTTCCAAAGTCAACAATAATGAACACATTTTACAAGAACTGGAAAAGAAGGTCTAGGGAGGGAAGGAGGTGATCAAATACTAAAAGCAAACAATAATGATGGAGAAGTACAAAAGTACGACTTTGGAGATTTCTGTTAAGTCTGATGGAGGTTTCCAGCTTCATGTAAACATTTTCCTTTAAAAAAAAGTAACCATAATGCATAATTAGCCTGTGGAACTCACTGCCAGAAGGTATCACTAGAGCCAAGAAGTTAGCAGAGAACTAGCCATTTATATGGACAAGGAGAACATTCACAGGTACTTTAAACAGGATAAATAATTAAGGGATCTAAACCCTTCTACTTCAAGGCATCAAGCCTGCTGGTTTAGATGTGGACATTTTTCCATTTCTATAGATTTTTACGAGAACTTCAATACAGTGCCTCAAATGACAGTTATACAACTAGTCCCACAGTAAGGATTTTTTTGGGGAGTGCTCAAAAGCAAATCAGAATCATCAGTAAGTATAGCATATGCACTGCTGTGTCACGTGCAGCCAGCATACATATACCCCATGTGTATCAATCACGCTTGCTGTAATCTAGGGAAAGATTTAGATGGGCTGAAATTTTGTATGCAATTTATACAAAGCTTTTCTATTTTTATGAGTCATTATGGACTCTAGCTACGAAATCTCTTAGCAGATCATTAAACAAACACAGCAGTCCTGCCACGTACCAGCGTTGTCCATTTCTACAGTGACCGATTCTCCACTCATGGGAAAAAGATTCAGTACATCTTCATACTTCCCTCGAGTCAAAAAAGTGTGACCAGAAAAGCGTATGGACGCTACCTCATCCTGGGTGCCAATACTGGAGACGTGCCACTGCACAATATCGTCATGGCAAAATCTAAGGATTTCAGTTCTGTCAGACATGTAGCCATTTATTGCTAAAACAAAGCACAAGATATGATATTACTGCACCTTAAAGCCTCACCAGCATGCAAGACGGTAAGCTAAATTCATGCCTTCAATGGAGTGACATCAGGGTTGGAACTGACACATCTTTGTATCTAGACAGAAAGATTATTGGCACTCTAATGAAATTGGGCTGCAATCCAGTCACCTTCATTTGAAGGGACACCATTAGGTTTAAAAAAAAAAATCAAATATTAAAATAACCTCTGTTCCTAGTCACCCTATATTGGATTCAGGGTGAAAGAATTCAAATATATATTTTTTAAATTGTTTATTTTGTACATTTCTCTCAGCTAGCTAGCTGTGAAAACAGACTACGAGTCAATTTCACTTGTGTTTACTTTTCACTTTTGGGTTCTGCATTACTCACTGTATAACACAGGTCTGTGGGTGACCTGGGCCGGGTACACTGGGGAGGGTGAGAAATGGGCTCCTAATGCTTGTGCAATCATAGTCACCAGCTATTGTGGGAGGGCACATGCCTTCAGGACACATGCTCAGATTCACAAGCTAGAGTCAAACACTGGAAGAAACCCCAGAGGCTAGCGTTGCATCAGCAGTTTCTCTGGCTGCTCTGCTATCCTGTGTGTTACTGGACCACATGCTCCCTCCTGATTCCCTTGTGCTGTGGCTCTAAGGAGGCAGCTTTTCACAACTACATGCACTGAGGCCACACACAGGGCTGAGCAGCCAGGCTCCCCTCCCCACTGTCAAGTTAACAGATTCATTAACACTTACCAATTGCTTAGTGCCATGCTCATAGCTGCAGCTTGCTCCAAACCCAAAAGCATGCAGTACGAGGCATGCAGCTGCTTGGCTGACTTCTGGACTCTTCCCAACATCCCTCCCTTTAGTTCCCTCCTGATTCCTTCCCCCATCCACCCCAGGGCAAACAGATGCAGCATCATAGATTGTTCCTTGTCACCACCCCAGGAACCCTGCCAGCCCCTGCCCACTATAACCACTCACCCCCAGTATCCATTCCCCTCTGCCAGGCTCTACGCAGACATTTACCAGAACCCCAGTCCCTCACCCAGGTACTCTACCTCTCTGTCTCCCACAATCACTGATACCTCCACCCCCCACCTCCAGGTGCTACCTCAATGGACTGCAGTTGGTGGCCCAGAAGCCCATGCAGGGCTGCTGAGACCACTCTCACTTCCCCTTCTCGGTTTACATTTGCCTGGCTCATGATGAGCTTGTTTGTGGCTAAGTTGCCCTATGAAATTCTGGAAATAGCAGATCCTTGAAGCCAGAACCAGAACTCTGCTCATTCGTGCTTTCAGCACACATCCATCCTTCAGCACACAATCTCAGGGCAGGGGCCACTTTCACTTCCCCTTGGGCTTAGTTTCCCACTCACTGTGCATTACGTTAGACCTGTAGAACTTGGGATCATCCCTTTTAACGCTGGAGGGGTTGCTGCAGTACTGCTTGATGTTATCCTCCAAGTACCAACTCTTGTTTTCATCAAACACGGCAAACACGGCCTGCTGCTCTACATCTGCCTTTTTCTGAAAAAGACAGCAGACACGGCAGGGTAAGTTTTGCAAGCAGCTAATTGATACATAGTGGGGTATATTAAGGGCCTAATCTTGCCACCCCTCCAGAGGCAAACTTCCCATTCAAGTGAACAGAAGCACAGTCCAGTGGTTAGAGCAAGGGACTGGGGTTCCGGACTCCTGGGTTCCATTCCTACCTCTGCAACCGACTCACGGGGTGACACTGGACCAGCTACTAGCATGGCTGCTATGAGCTGGGCTCCCCTTACTGGGGCACTTGTTGCTGTACGTGCAGGCGCTTTAGTCACTGCTTCCACTCACTAGTGGTTGGTGTCTGAGCCACTGCCAAAGTAGATTCCTTCTTTTGGCCCCATGGAGGGGAAGTGGAAGAAGAACTCTCCCAGCAACCCCCTTGAAATGCTTCTGGATCCCCAAAGTTTGGGGTTTCAGACCTAGGTTAAACCTATGATAGATTGGGGTCAGAACTTCCTCCCTTTCTCCCTGCATACCTTCAAACTTTGGGGAAATTTAGGGTGGTGTCTAGAACCAGGATTTTGCAATTTCTTGTCTTGGCAAACAAAGCACCATGAAAGAAATCACTAGCAGCCTGATCTTTCTAACTGAAAGCCCCAACGAGCACACTAAATCTGGGGCCAAATATGCCAGCAGGCAGCTAAAAGCTATCACTGCAAGCAGCCCTTATAGAAAAGTCCTATCGAATTTAATAGAAAACAATCCCCTTATTTTAGGGTTTTTGACTCATCCTATAGAATTTAATGTCCCAACTAGGGAGTTCCTTTGGAGAAGTTCTTTGAACCACCCTACAGATCTCATACCTCATTACATTCTACAGGTTTTTAGACTGACTTCTACAGAAGCCTAGTGACCCGATCCCAGTTCAGTTCTAGAGGCCTTTTCTCTAAGGGATCAATCAATGAAACCAAATTCCCCTGTAGTTCAAACACTGCACACAGACAGGAGCCCCTTCCCCCCGCCCCCTCAGAGGTTGTACAACATGATCATACCTGCACACCCCTCTTGTCCAGTGCTTCACTTTTACAAATCAGAAGTGGGCCAATCAGTCCAGAGGCTATATCCCTGGTTACATCTACAGCACTGTGATATAATCTCGTTAGACACTGGGCATCCTGTGCAGTGGGCTGATCGGTGTCCACAATGCTCCATTTATACGTGTAGGTTTCCCCCGGTTGAACAGCTTTACTCAGAGTGCTGTTGTCTGAAGGAGAAATAAAATGAGAGAAACTTTATTAGGACTTACAAACTAGAGCCAGATTCATGGCTGGTGTAAATTGGCATAGCTCTGATGAAGTCAGTGCACCTTCAGGCACTTGAAGTCCAATATGTACTTTGGGCAGGTCTACATTTCAAAAACAATTGAGTACGGGGACCTAGATACAGCATAGTTGTCCCTGCTAAGCTCCCATGTGCTAAATGGGAATTCTATCACTTACTTTAGAGACTTGTCATGAAGCTAAATGAATGATGCGTGTAAATCACTTTGAGATCCATGGATGAAAGGCACTACAGAAGGACAAAAAAACCTGTTGAACAAGGACTGTTCATATCTGGGGCAGAACATTCTATATTTTAATTGTGACATTTTAAGGTGACAGTGAACTGCACACTGTTGGGGAGGCAGATTCAGAAGGAATTGCCTTGGCTCTAAGCATACGTCCTGGCTAGAGCCAGCTCCATTCTATTTCTACAACAAACCTGCTACTCACTACATTCTTCCTATACCAAACCATCACCCATAAAACAGCATCTAATCAGTTGAAGTTAATGCTGCAGAAATAGAATCAAAGGACTGGAAAGGACCTTGAGAGGTCATCTAGTCCAGCCCCCTGTACTCATGACAGGACTAAGTAATATCTAAAACACCTGTCAGGCATGGTCATCTAACCTGCTCTTAAAAATCTCCAATGAAGGAGATTCCACAGCCTCCCTGGGCAGTTTATTCCAAGGTTTAACCACCCTGACAGTTTGGAAGTTTTTCCTAATGTCCAACCTAAACCTCCCTTGCTGCAATTTAAGCCCATTGCTTCTTGTCCTATCCTAAGAGTTTAAGGAGAACAAATTACCTCCCTCCTTGTAACAACCTTTTATGTACTTGAAAACTTATGTCCCCTCCTCAGTCTTCTCTTCTCCAGACTAAACAAACCCAATTTTTTCAATCTTCCCTCAAAGGTCATGTTTTCTAGACCTTTAGTCATTTCTGTTGCTCTTTTCTGGACTTTCTCCGATTTGTCCAGATCTTTTCTGAAATGTGGCGCCCAGAACTGGACACAATACTCCAGTTGAGGCCTAATCAGCACACAGTAGAGCAGAAGAATTACTTCTTGTGTTTTGCTTACAACAATCCTGCTAATACATTCCAGAATGACGTTTGCCTTCTTTTGCAACAGTGTTACACGGTTGACTCATATTTAGCTTGGAGTGGGGGGTTTCCGCAGTACTCCTTCCTAGGCAGTCATTTCCCATTTTGTGTTTGCACAAGTGATTGTTCCTTTCTAAGTGGAGTACTTTCATTTGTCCTTATTGAATTTCATTCTAGTTACTTCAGACCATTTCTCCAGTTTGTCAGATCATTTCGAATTTTAATCGTATCCTCTAAAGCACTTGCAACCCCTCCCAGCTTCGTATCAGCCACAAACTTTATAAATATTGTGGCAAATTACCGGCACTATTATGACCTCCTGCCCTCTCTCCGCTTGGGCCAAGTTTCTCCCAATCCCTTGCGCCTGTAGAGTCCCTCTGGTCTGCGCAAGCCGGGTTTCCCTTTATCTAGGGTCTTGGTCTTCTGGCCCGCCACAGCACTTCTTCAAACTGCTCTCCTCCAAACTGCTCTCCACTCCTACCCCAAACCTCTCTGCTTCAACTCCTTCAAACTGTTTTCCTCCAAACTGCTCTCTGCTCCAACACCAAACCACTCCGCTTCAACTCCTCCAACTGTCTGATTGAAGCGGGGGGGGGGGTTAATCAGGTGACTGGCTTCAGCTGCTCTAATTGGCTTAATTGGTTTCAGGTGCTCTAATCTGTAGCAGCCTCTCTTCCCTCTACAGGGAATAAGGCTCTCCTCATCCTGGGGCTTACATATCTCCCATCGATCACTCTCCTGCTGCCCTCTGGCCATGCTATATCACAATATACTCTCTCTGCCATTATCTAAATCACTGATGAAGATATTGAATAGAACCAGACCCCACTTGATACGCCCTTCCATCTTGACTGCAAACTACTGTGCTTGCTGTCTGACTCATACAAAAAGAAGTGCAATCACATCTTTCCGGTCTTTGAACAAATCCGCTGACTCTCCCATTCTTTCCAGGAATCAGGAAATAAAATGTCCCCTCTTCCTTCTCTAAAGCCTTCCATGGACTGGCTACAGCTTATTTCATAGCCCCTAACTTCTGTGTAGTCTCTCGTTTGCTCGCCCAGCATGAGCATCCTCACTATCCAAGATTGTGGATACACAGTCTTGCCACTGTTGATGACTTTTCCTGCTGCTACTTCTGCTCTTTCTGTATCTCTCAGCCTCATCTCATTTCAGATCACAGCAGAAAACATTTCTCTTTTTCCCTTAGCTATTCTTCTTAATATTTTCTAATATTTCTTCTCCTCCGTTACTATTTAACCATGCAAAGAATATGAAGATATAGTGTACTTGGACTTTCAGAAAGCCTTTGACAAATCCCTAACCAAAGGCAAAGTAAGCAGTCGTGGGATAAGAGGGAAGGTCCTCTCCTAGATCAGTAACTAATTAAAAGATAGGAAATACAGGGTAGGGATAAAGGGTCTGTTTTCACAACAGAGAAAGGTAAATAGCGGGTTCCCGCAAGGATCTGTATTGGGAAATGTGTTCAACTTATTCATAAATGATCTGGAAAAGGGGGTGAACAGAAAGGTGGCAAAATTTGCAGCTACACAAAAGCACTCAAATCAGTTAAGTACAAAACTGACTGAATAGTGATAAAGGGATCTCACTAAACTGGGTGACTGGGCAACAAAATGGCAGATTAAGTTCAATGTTGATAAATACAAAATAATACACATCGGAAAAAATAATCCCAACTATATATACAAAATGACGGGGTCTAAATTAGCTGTTATCACTTCAGAAGGATCTTGGAGTCAACATGGTTAGTTCTCTGAAAACATCCACTCAATGTGCAGCAGTCAAAAAAGCAAACAGAATGTTAGGAACCATTAGGAAAGGGATAGATATTAAAACAGAAAATATCATACTGCCACTATATAAATCCGTGATACACCCATATCTTAAACTGTGCAGTTCTGGTCACCTTGTCTCAAAAAAGATATCGCAGATTTGGAAAAGGTGGAGAGAACAGCAACAAAAATGATGAGGGGTACGGAACAGCTTCCGTATGAGCAGAGATTAAAAAGACTGGGACTGTTCAGCTTAGAAAAGGGACAACTAAGGGGGGAATATGATAGAAGTCTATAAAATCATGCATGGTGAGGAGAAAGTGAAGAGGGAAGAGTTATTTACTCCTTCACATAACACAAGAACTAACGATCACCCGATGAAATTAATAGGCAGCAGGTGTAAAACAAAAGTACTACTTTGCCCAACACACAGTCAACCTGTGGAACTCAATGTCAGGGGATGCTACGAAGGCCAGAAGTATAACTGGGCTCAAAAAATAATTAGATAAGAATATGGAGGACAGGTCGGTCCATCGATGGCTATTAGCCAAAATGGTCAGGGTCCCAACCCCATGCTCCAATTACCAGAAGCTGGGACTGTACGACAGGGGACGGATCACTGGAAATTGCCCTATTCTGTTCATTCCCTTTGAAGCATCTGGTACCGGCCACTGTCAGACAGGATACGAAGCTAGATGGACCATTGGTCTGACCCAGTATGGCTGTTCTTATGTTATGTTGGGTGAGATCCTTGGCTGGTGTAAACTGACATTAGCTCATTGAAGTCGAGGAACACGTCCACACAGTTTTTTTTTAAATAATAGTGCTGCTTAGCATATTTACATTTTATTTTTCACCTGTAGATCTCAAAGCACTTTACAAAAGTGGTCATTTAACATAATCCCCATTTTACCAATGGGGAAAATGAGGCACGGAGAAGAGATGCAACTTACCCAAAATCACACAGCAGGTCAGTGGCAGAGCTGGGAACAAAACCCAGGTCTCCCACTCCTGTGCCCTAATCAATTACATGACCCCCTAAAGGCAAAGAGAGACCCTAAACAAAGTAACACTTTTGATATTGTGCAAATGTGAACAGTTTCTGACCTGTGGAATCCAGGGGGTCAGTGGCTCCTTCTGCATCCTTTGAAAGCGTCACTCCATGGAGGTAAATGCTGTAGGGTCGACTGGCCATATTTTTGAACACAATCTACGTAGATATGAAGATGAAGAAAGTATGAGTTCAGCATTCAGTGAACCCTGGTCTGGGTACATTACTACAAATCCCAGTGAGAGCGAAACTTGCAGATTTCAGCACCGAAAGTGCTCAGGGGAAAAAACGCTCCTTAAAAGAAAAATCTGGTGACGTTAAACCAGAAGTTCTACTGCAACATGAACATTTGTGGAGCCTACGGATTGGGGTTGCTCTTGTTCTGCCTGGTCTCAGGCGGCTGATGAGAACGCCGTCCTCAGGAGATCTTCCCACACTGCCAGGCACACAAAGCCATGGAGAGTGCTGAGCCACAGATTGGAATCACTGGGATCCCTTAAAAACAATGAGGAGTCCTTGTGGCAACTCCCAACTTTTCATGGGCTGTATATTTATACCTGCTTACTGTATTTTCCACTCCATGCAGCTGATGAAGTGGGACATATCCCACGAAAGCTTACGCCCAAATAAATTTGTTAGTCTCTAAGGTAGAGATTATGGGTTCATAAAGTTCAGACAGATCCGAACTTCCCCACAGTTCAGGTGTGTTTGGAGTTGGGGTTTTAGACCAGCTATTTTAAATGTTCTTTACAAAAATCAATGCAAAGTTAAGATTGATAAACCCACCACCCAAAGTCAGGGATGGCAGATACAAGACTGCAAACTTAAACTTAACTCTGTCCCCTTGTGCTCATACCTTCAAATATGGCCACTCTTTGTATCATTACACATTATCTGACAAAGAATACAACACAAGCTGTTTCTTGTTTATAGTAAGTTAGTTTACATTTACAGTAAGTTACACCACAGTACATACAGTCTTTGTATTTGGCCCTCGCCACTTACCTTGATTATGTCTCTAACCTGAGCTCTGATAATAGGGCCCAAAATTCCCATTTCCTTGGGCCGGGGAGTCTCCAGACGCTTATTGAAGTTGGCATCTGCATACTGCCTGAAAACAGCCTTTTTATACTTCTTCCCAATGAGATTTGAGAAGTTGTCCAAGTACTGAGCTTTATATTGCCTTAAAAAAAAAAGGGAAAAAGTGTCAATAATATCTTCTTAATGGTGAGAGCCACTAGATGGTAGAATACTCTCCCAGGGGAAATAGCAGAAGCCCCATTGCATGGGAAAAAACAGATCTAGATTAGACACAGCTCTATAAAATAGATTATTATGATTTGTGCTACAGTAGCAGCTAGAGACCCAACCAAGGCCAGGGTTCTCATTGTGCTAGACACTATATAAACACATAGTATGAGAGAGCTTCCAATCGAAATTTTCAAGACAAACAAAGGAGGGGAGAGAGGAAGTATTACGTCTCCCATTTTACAAATAGGAAAAGGAGGCACAGAGGGACTGAGTGACTTGCCCAAGGTGTCACAGTCTGTGGCAGAGCCAGGAATTGAACTCTGATATCCTGAATCCAAATCAAGAGACTTGACTTAATCAATGTTACATCAAGGTTTCAAAGACAGTGGAATTCCCAATGATGGCTAAGAATAGGTAGCATTCATGAAATGAGGTGAGCAGTTGTGGTTTAGCCATGAACTGTGGCTGTTTTGTACATGGACCCTTTTGAGAAAGGCTGTAGAAGCATGATAACAGCAAAGGTAAGATTTATTCCCCTCACTCTCTTCCTTTCCTTCTCCTCTCAATCCTCTCCCTCTCTTCTGGTGCATCCTGGGAATTGTAATTCCTGAACTCAAAGCTACAGGAGCCACCTAGGAACAAATTTACAAACACACACTGTGATAGCTATCTGCATCTAACTAAATACAACACACCTTCCCCCTTTAGAATAACCATTGTAAAACTTCAGTCACTTCCAGACCATCACTTGAGTCCAGTAACAAAGTCTTCCAATCTTTTAGGCAGTTTCTTTTGTCTCACACTTCTCCTAATACCCGGAGAGGCAGGAACAAGATCGGGTAGTGGAGTAATTCCTACTACTATAGATTGTCCATCGTTATTATTGGTGTCATCAACGTTCTCTGGTCCAAGGTGGAAATCAGCATTCTCTTCTTCAGCTGCTGGCTGATGAGCTGTGGAGAATCTCAAAGTGTTCTATTTCTTTTGATCTATTAATCCAGCAGAATCTTCTCAGCTTTCTGTTATCTGCAAAGGAAAGGAATATCTTGAACGTTCTTTTTTGACTTTGTATGACAGCTTCACACGAACAAGATCTCCAATTTCAAATTTGTGAGGTTTAGCACCTTACAGTATACACACTGCCTATATTTCTCCTGTTTGTTCTTAACACATTCAGGATTAGTTTCATCAGAAGGTTTGGTTGAAAAAGGAGAACATGTAGGCCCTTGACAGGTAGTAAATCATTTACCAGCCTTGTGTCCTCTTAACAGTTCAAAGGGTAATACTCCTGGTGTTAATTGTGGAGTGGTCCCGTAAGCAAACAGTGTTTCATGTAAAGCTTCTTTCCCTGGTCAAGTAGACCACTGGCTCTTGGATGGTATAAAGAAACAGTTTTGCGTTTGATACCACTGCTAATGAGGTAGTGTTGCATTTCAGCAGAAGTTATTTGCATTCCATTGTCAGCTACCAATTCCTTGGAAAACCCTTCTCGGGCAAAAACTGATGACATTAAACTTATTTACTATTTCAGCGGTAACCTTACCAGTGAATGTAACTTGTGGCCAATTTGAATGATAGTTTACCATTCCTATGACAAACCTCTGTGTAACAGGCTGATCTTCAAATGCTCCCATTAGGTCAGGAGCCAGTTTCTCCCATGGACAATTGGGATCAAGAACTGGTGTGAGAAGGAGGCCGAAGGTTTTCTCAAAAAACCAAAAAAACCAGGAGTACTTGTGGTACCTTAGAGACTAACAAATTTATTTGAGCATAAGCTTTCGTGGGCTACAGCCCACTTTTTCGGATGCATAGAATGGAACATATAGTGAGGAGATATATATACACACATACAGAGAGCATGAAAAGGTGGGAGTTGTCTTGCCAACTCTGAAAGGCCAATTAAGTAAGAGGGGAAAAAACAATTTTTGAAGTGATAATCAAGATAGCCCAGTACAGACTGGTTGATAAGAAGTGTGAGAGTACTTACATGGGGCGATAGAGACTGGGAATGGCTGAGCCATTACAAACATTGAATCTATTTAAGCTTAAGTTGATTGTATCTAATTTGCATATCAATTCAAGCTCAGCAGTTTCTCGTTGGAGTCTGTTTTTGAAGCTTTTTTGTTGCAAAATTGCCACCTGCAGGTCTGTCATTGAATGACCAGACAGGCTAAAGTATTCTCCTACTGGTTTTTGAATGTTAGGATTCCTGATGTCAGATTTGTGTCCATTAATTCTTTTGCGTAGGGACTGTCCGGTTTGGCCAATGTACATGGCAGAGGGGCATTGCTGGCACAGGATGGCATATATCACATTGGTAGATGTGCAGGTGAACGAGCCCCTGATGCCATGGCTGATGTGATTAGGTCCTATGATGATATCACTTGAATGGATATGTGGGCAGAGTTGGCAGCGGGCTTTGTTGCAAGGATAGGTTCCTGGGTCAGTGTTTTTGTTCAGTGATGTGTTGTTGCTGGTGAGTATTTGCTTCGGGTTGGGGGGTTTCTGTAAGCGAGGACAGGTCTGTCTCCCAAGATCTGTGAGAGTGAGGGATCATCTTTCAGGATAGGTTGTAGATCTTTGATGATGCGCTGGAGAGGTTTTAGTTGGGGACTGAAGGTGACAGCTAGTGGTGTTCTGCTATTTTCTTTGTTGGGCTTGTCTTGTAGGAGGTGACTTCTGGGTACTCGTCTGGCTCTGTCAATCTGTTTTTTCACTTCAGCAGGTGGGTATTGTAGTTTTAAGAATGCTTGATAGAGATCTTGTAGGTGCTTGTCTCTGTCTGAGGGATTGGAGCAAATGCGGTTGTATCTTAGGGCTTGTCTATACTTATGCGCTGGTTCGGCGGCAGGCAATCGAACATCTGGGTTCGATTTATCGTGTCTTGTCTGGACGCGATAAATCGAACCCAGAAGTGCTCCCCGTCGACTCCGGTAATCCTGCTCAGCGCGAGGAGTACACGGAGTCGACGGGGGAGCCTGCCTGCTGCGTCTGGACCGCGGTATGTTCGAACTAAAGTACGTCGACTTCAGCTACGTTATTCATGTAGCTGAAGTTGCGTACCTTAGTTCAAATTGGGGGGTTAGTGTAGACCAGGCCTTAGAGCTTGGCTGTAGACAATGGATCGTGTGGCGTGTCCTGGATGGAAGCTAGAGGCATGTAGGTAAGTATAGCGGTCAGTAGGTTTCCGGTATAGGGTGGTATTTATGTGACCATCGCTTATTAGCACAGTAGTGTCCAGGAAATGGACCGCTTGTGTGGACTGATCTAGGCTAAGGTTGACACTTCTAGGACAAGCCATGTAATTCTTGATTATTTCCGCAACTTGCTTGTCCATCCCTGGCCACCAGAAGTCTTATCGCAGTTGTCTTTTGGTTAGGCTCATCTCCATATGTCCTCCATGTGACAGATGAATTAATCGTTCTCTCAGAAGTGTAGGCACAACAAGATGGTTAATTCTCAAAACCCCTTCATTTACAAAGGACAGCTCATGTGACATGTCTATATGGTTCCAAGTGTTCTGGTATCATTGTCATGTAAGACCATCTATGGTCTATGTAAGTCTTTAGGTCCTTGTGATGGGGTGTGCGCCCCACACTGAAACTGCAAGAGTTGCATTAGGTCAGGTGGGCCCAATCAGCTAATTAGGTTGTAAACAAGGGAGCTTTGGGTTGGAGGTAGCTAATCAGAGAGAAGCTCATTTGTGAGAGAGAGGTGGGGCTTCTACAAAAGACAGGAAATTAGCAGGGAGATATGCGCAGTCACTTCCAGGGAGAAGGGAGATGTGGCTGGGGCTACAGAGGCAGGTAGCCTATGGTTACTCCCTGGGAGGAGGGAGTGAAGGGACTGGCCAATCCAGAGGAGGGGGGCAGGCCAGGAGGTATGAAAGCGACTCAGGGAAAGGCAGCAAGGTGCAGGGAACTGATCTTGGCTGTTGTGTAGCGAGTCCCTGAGCCAGAATCTGAAGTAAAGGATGGGCCCAGGTTCCCCCGACCAGCCACTGCAGGAACGGCACCATGGGCTAATGAAGCGGAAGACTGCTGGAGAGCAGGAACATTGATACACTCCAGCACCTAGAAGGGGAAACCACAATAGCTAGAGGGCTGAGTCACAAAGAGGACGCTGCAGCTCCTGGAAGCGGTGGGGGCTGCAGAGGAGAAACTGACAGGGTGTAATTGCCAGGAGGGGCATTGGGCTGACTGAGCTAATCCCCAGGACTGCCATGAAGTGGCGCCATGCAGCGGTGAGTACAGCAACCCCATCACAGTCCTGAAGTACCTGGTCTTCTCTCATGGCTGTTACCCACTCTGAGATTGAGTTGTAGCAGAAATTTGTGCAAGGACAATCTCTTCATCATCTGTCTCTACTGCACCCTCATGGTAAGATATGGGCAGGCAAGACAGAATCGGCAGTGGTGGTGTTGACTCCTGGAAGATACACTGTCAGCAAATCAAAGTCCATTAGTTTGGTGGCCCATTTGGCAATTCTTGGAGTTGCTTTTCCAGAACCTTATGTGGTGAATAAAAATAAGCTGAAAGAGGCTTATGATCAGATCTTAAGATAAATCTCCCACCACCCCATAAGTAAGTTCTGAAGTGTCTTACTGCCCAGAAACATGCCAGAACTTCTCTCTCAATGAAAGAATAAGATTTTTCAGAATCAGTCAGGGCTCCGGAGGCAAATGCAATAGTGACTCCTGTCCATTTTTAAGCTGAGTCAAGACAGCACCAAGACCTTACTCACAAACTACTGTTGTGACAATTATTTGTTTCACAGAATCAAAAGGGCTTAAAGCTGGGATGGTGGACATTGCATATTTGATCTGGTTAAAGCTGTTCTTGTACACTTCAACCCATTCAGACCTTAGATGTCCTTTTTTAGGAGAGGACTCAATGGAACTACTTTCACAGCAAACTTCTTTATAAACTTTGG